CACTTCCCAAATGGTTGCATCCAGGCTGAAGCCAGGAGCTCTGTCAAGTCTCCCATGTGGGTGGCAGGGACCCAAGCACTTGGACCATCCTCTGCTGCTGTCCCAGGTGCATTAGCAGGGAGCTGGGTGGGAAATAGAGCAGCCTGGACTTGAACCAACACCCATACGGGATGCTGGTGCCTCAGGAAGTGCCACGGCGCCAGCCCCTTGACAGGCATTTGTTGAGTAACTATTATTAGCCTGTTCCTTTCACATTTGCTTGCAGTCACAGTTCTTACAGCTGGTGCTGCTTGTGGAGTGTGAGACTGACACGTGAGGGCTACGACCATTGTGGAGGCTACAGGTGGCTGGGGGTGGGGGTGGGGGGCAGGTGCTCTTCAGACCAGGTGCTCTAAGACTTAGGGAGGGCGTCAGGTTTGGAAAAGGGGCAGAAAGAGGACAACCCTGACAACTAAGGGGACTAATTTGCCTCCTATGAAGCCGGTTACTCATGCTGTCTCACACAAGCCCTGAACGACGCCTTGAGGTCGATCCTGAAATTATCTCCGTTTTATAGATGGGGAAAATGAGATGCAGAGAGGCAAAGCCACTCGCTCCTGTTCTCTCAGCTACGAGGTAGGTCGGGGCTCTGTCTGACTTACAGGCCGTTTCTCTGATGCTCAGGGCTGCACTGCTTCTGTGCCGGGGCCACCACAGAGATAGAAACACCATTGCCCTGCCCTCATCGCCTCCTCTTACAGAAAGTGGGGGAGAGCCCGGGCATTTGCTTGGGAGACCAGGGGCTCCCCTGCCTGCCGTGGAAGGCCTGGCTCAGGAGCCAGGACCCGTCTTTCTTGCAGCACCACAGTCTTGCTCAACCCCCCACTGAGCAATGGGCCTGGCGGGGTTGCCTCACTTGGAGACAGCAGGCCCCAGCCTTCCTGGCTCTCGCCCACTTCCTGTCCTGCGTCTCTGTTGTGGGTCGGTGATTCTCACTCTTCCTGTTGACTTCTCCTTTGTTTCAGCCGGTGCAGCGCAAGCCCTGCGGGCTGCTGCGGATGTGAGCGGCCAAGGCTCCGGGACCCAGGACAAGGTAGCTTGGGATGGTGGGGAGTGGGAGGTGGGGGCTGATTGGACAAGGTCTGGGTCAGGAGAACACTGGCTCGGGAGACATCGGAGGAGGGGACCTGGTGTCTGAGGACCCCATCTGCCTTCGGGATGTGGGTGGTTGGGGGGGTTGTTGGAGGCCAAGGTCAGTCTGTGAAGTTGTTTGTGTCCCTGTGGACAACAGGGGTTTGCTTTGGTGTCTTTCTGATCCTCCTAGGCTTCTGATCACCTTGGCTTGTTTTTTGTGGAGTTGTGGAGGGAGCTCCTTGGGTGGGATGGGTGATGGGGAGCTGGCAGGGCCACTGTTGGTGTGCTGCACGGCGATCTCACAGTGCTGGCTCACAGAGGGGCTTGCGACTGAGCCTTGGCTCCGTGGCTGGCTGGCTTGGTGGCTTGTGGACCAGATACTTCCTTCTGAACCTGGGCTGTCATCAGCAAAGTGGAACACACCTGGTTTCACTGGGTTTTTGTGGTACTGAAGCAGCAAAATGTGAGGGGGTTTTGTAAACTGTAAGAATATATTCTTCAGGGCTCACAGTAACTTTTATTTCATTTTCTAAATGGAAGTATATATATAGATATATTTTTTCCCTGATAGTTGATAAAAATGGGAACAATACAGTACAGAGAACTGGGGAATCTCTGTACCCCAAAAATGAAGACTTTGGGATACAGACTTTTAGCCTTACATGAGGAATTATTTTTTAAAGATTTATTTATTTATTTGAAAGGCAGAGTTACAGAGAGGCAGAGGCAGAGAGAGAGAGAGGTCTTCCATCCACTGGTTTGCTCCCCAAATGGCCACAATGGCCAGAGCTGAGCCAATCCAAAGCCAGGAGCCAGGAGCTTCTTCCAGATCTCCATGTGGGTACTGGGACCCAAGGACTTGGGCCATCTTCTACTGCTTTCCCAGACCATAGCAGAGAGCTGGATCGAAGTGGAGCAGCTGGGTTTTGAACTGGCACCCATATGGGATGCTGGCACTGCAGGCAGTGGCTTTATCTGTTATGCCACAGCGCTGGCCCCATTGATACGCTTTTGACTCATTTGTTCAGACTCCCTTAAGAAAAGCCCTATCGGTTCATTTATTTTAAATCCAACGTCTACCTCTGTGAAAGCAACACAGAGCTTGCAATGAAAAACAGCATCTCCACGTCCCACCCCTCCACTTCCAGGCTCTCCCTACCAGAGGCAAATATTTTGAATTTTTTAGTTGCTTTTCTTTCCAAATAAAGTGCCTATGTGGCTATTTCTTTATTTTTCTGTGTTAATCATGATCTATTGGTTTCTTATTGTAAAAGGCAAGGGTATAAAACTCTCACCCTGCCCACATTACTGTCCCCCCATCCTCCTGATATGGCATAACACCAATTTGGTTAAGTCAGTATTTGTGCTTATGTTATATGTGTTTGTTACGCTGTGACTGTATTAAGTTTTCTCGGTGCTATATAAATTATGATGATGATGTTCCCTTTCTTTTGTCTATTTGTTTCCCTGGAGCTGATAGTTGCCTTAGTTTTTATGACACATGTCACTGACTCCTCTCCAAAAGAGCTATTAAATTCCTGTCAATTTGATCTGACACATCAGATAATCTCTCAGCTTCTGTCTTTTTTCTCTTGGAGACATCTCCGTGGGAGCCTCGTCCCATCACGCCAGTCTGGACTAGCTGCCCCCAGTCCTACTGCATACTATTTTCCTGGGACACCCCTAAACATCATCTTAGGAATCAGTTCTCACTCTCTTGCACGAATCCTCTCTTTCAGGTCCTACTTTAAAACTGATTACTTACTCCCTCTCTCTCTCTCTCTCTCTGTGTATGAGAGAGATAGATTGATTTCCCATCTGCTGGTTCGCTCCCTAAAATGCCTGCATTGGAGAAAACTGGAAGCTGGGCGCTCCATCCAGGTCTCCCACATGGGTGGCAGGGACCCAAGTACTTGAGCCATCACCTGCTGCCTCCCTCCCAGGGTCTACTTTAGCAGACAGCTGGAATTGGGAGCCAGAGCCAGAGCCAGGCATGAAACGCAGGCACTCTAATGCGGGACATGGGGGTCATAACCTGAGGCTTAACCAAAAGAAGCCCACGCCTGTGACCTGGGTTTGTGTCTGCAGAAGTGGGAAGGAGTGTCACCACACGCCTGCAGGTCTGAGATTCCTGCACGAGTTTCATGGTGTCGCGTACCCAGGGACCATTTCTAAGTGGGTTTTGATTGCCATAAGCAATTCTGGGAAAGGTTTTTGAATTATCATTATCTTAATCACTTCCTCATTTTCTGTATTTCTTTCTGGAAATCCTATTATTTGGATGTTGGACTTTTTTAGGTTTCTCCTCTCATTTTCTTGCTTTTAATCTCCTGTTTGGGAGATCTGTCTTTTGTTCTATTTTTGGGGGAGATTTTTCTCAATTTTGTAGTCATTTTTATTTGAACTCTCACATTTAAAAACCAGCTTTTGTCCTCATTTCTTTTCTCATAGTTCCATATTTGTGTTTCATGATATAATATCTTTGTTTGCTTCTCTGAAACATTTTAAAAAGATTCATGTATTTATTTGAAAGGCAGAATGGCAGAGACAGTGAGAGAAAGAGAATGCTCTTTCATCTGCTAGTTCACTCCCCAGATGCCTGCAACAGCCATGGGCGTGACAGGCTGAGGCCAGGAGCCAGGAACTCCATCCTGGTTTCCCATGTGTGTGGCAGGGGCACCAGTACTGCTGCTGTTCCAGGTGTGTTAGCAGGAAGCTGGATGGGAGGCAGAGCAGCCAGGGCTGGAACTGGTGCTCCAGTATGGAATGCCATTGTCTTAGGTGGTGACCTGACCTGCTAGGTCAGGTCATGACGTCATGATGACAGCCCCTGAAAATATTTATTAAGCTCCCCCCACCCCTCTTAATTTTGCTTTGTATCTTAGTTTTGCACTGTGTCTTTTTTTTAAATTTAATTTAATTTATTTGAAAGGCAGAGTTACAGAGAGACAGAGGCAGTGAGAGAAAGTTCTTCCATCTGCTGGTTCATTCCCCAAATGGTTACAGTGGCCAGGGCTGTGCCAGGTGGAAGCCAGGAGCCAGGAGCTTCTTCTGGGTCTCCCACAATGGGTGGCAGGTGGCACTTTGGCCATCCTCTGCTGCTTTCCCAGGTACATTAGCAGGGAGCGGGATCAGAAGTGGAGCAGCAGGGACTTGAACTTGTGTTGCAGGCAGTAGCTTAACCTGTTGGCCCCAGCGCCGTCCCAACCGTTCCCTCCCACCCCTGCCTCGCCGTGTTGTAGCATTGCTCTCAGATTTCTTCTGTCTTTTTTGTCCGATATTTTTGACGTTAGAGGCTTTTCCAGTGTTTGGTGATTCCTTGTGGAATGTGCACTCTTATGACCAAGGAGCTCGAGGCTGATGAGAGGTGGCGTGTGTGTGTGGAGGGGCCTTGTTGGTAGTCGGGACTCTGTGTAGGGTGATGAAATGGGGGCACCACCTGGGAGGGACTCCCTAATCTCCAGCATGAAGGAGACAAGCGAGGCTGCTGGTGCTGGGCAGCCATCAGGTGAAGGGAGCCGGGGTCTCGGCATTGCTTAGGTACCTTTGAAGACTGTCCCTCTCTTCCATCCTCTTTCCCTTCATAGCACAGCCACTGAACCCTGTCCTCGGTTGTGTCCTTCCTACCCCTGTCTGGAACTTCTCTGGTTTAGTTTCTCCAGAAAACATCCTCAACCTCCTCCTCCTACAGGGGTGGGAGAGAGGCAGATGCCTGGGCTGGGCTGTGGACCTGGGTCTGAACGCCTGTGCAGGCACACAGAGCTCTCCACATTCCCTCTAGAGGGTCTAGCCCTGTTGCACCTGCTTTCTGAAGCAGCGGCACCTCCATTTCTTGGGCATTTTTGGAGTTCAGAGGTGTAGGGTTGCTTGTTCCCAGTGGGTACTGAGTTTCCAGTCTTCTCTGCTCTATGACATCAGCTCCTGCTCATCAACCAGCTTCCAAGATTTCATTGACATCTTTCGTCCTTCCTGCTGTACTGTGTCCTTGTGGATTTATATGACAGAGAGGGAGGGAGGGAGGAAAAGCGGGTGAGAGAGAAAGAGAGAGAGATCCTCTATTTGCTGATTCATTTCACTCCCCAAATATTTTGCTACAGCCAGAGCTAGGCCAGGCCAAAGCCAGGAGTCAAGGATTCCATACGGGTCTCCCATGTGGGTGGCAGGGACACAAGTATTTGGGCCATCTTCTGCTGCCTTCCCAGGCACGTTAGCAGGGAGCTGGATCGGAAGCAGAGAAGCCAGGACTCAAAGTGGCACTCTGATAATGAGATGTAGGCCTCCCAAGTGGCAACTTAACCTGCTGCACCACAACACCCGCCCCAAGTTCCCCTTTCTTTAAAAAATGACTTTTTGAGAGAGTGAGCTCCCATCTGTTGGTTCACTGTTGCAAATGCCTGCAACAGTCAGGGGTGGGCTGGGCCAGGCTGAAGTCTGGAGCCTGGAACTGGGTGCGGGTCTCCCACATGGGTGGGAGGGGGTCCAACCATTGAGCCATCACCCCTGCCTCTCAGGGGTGCACATTAGCAGGAAGCTGGAGTCAGGAGCAGAGCCAGGATGTGCGTGTCTCAACTGACAACTTCATTGCCAGGTCGAAGGACGCCCTGGAATGTTCCCCCACATCTGCTTAACAATCTCTTTTTGGGGAGTGGGGGAAGGGTAAAGGTAAACTTTAATCCGTTTCTAGTTAAACTGTCACTACCTGCACATGAATGAGTGCCGACTCGCTCGCGTGCTCTCTCTCTCTCTCTCAGAGATTTCCTGGCACTTTCTAGCACTTTCCTTGTTTCTTCCTGGGTTGGAAGAAGCGACCGAGAAGCATCGCCCTGGGACTCTCACTGGGTACCTGCACAGCTGGGCCTTCAGAGTGAACATGACGAGGGGCAAACATCAAGGAAGGAAAAGAAAAATCCAGACAGGCAGACGTCTGAAAGGCTCACCTGAGAACCAGGAGTTGAAACAGAAGTGAGAGGTTGGTGTGAGAGATGAGGGTCTGAGCTCTGTCCCCAAGCTGGGCTTGGCCAGGGTGCTCTGACCCTCATTCCCCCGCCTCCGTCAGGCGGGCAGTGTCCACATTCTCTCTGAGTTTTCACAAGTACCTACTTTGTCCTATGAGCTGTGTGATCCTGGACAAGCTGCTTACTGTCTCTGAGTCCAGGTTCCTCACGCATACACTAATAGCTACTTCTAGGCTGGGTGTGAGTGGGTGTTTGCGAAGCACTTATCCCAGAGCTTGGCCACACTAAGGACCCAATAAACGCCAGCTATGTGTGTTGCATGCCAGTCGTTACATAAGAGGAAGGTCATTATGTCACCCACACTCTGTGTGTGGAAAGGAACTCTGTCTTCCCAAAAGTGGTTTCAGAGTTCAAGCTGTGGCTGGGACAGATGCCAGAGAGCAGAGGACAAAGTCACCGCTGGCCACCGACCTCCGTTTTCAGCTCTTTCTTCCCTGGGGCCTGGACGCTGTCCAGCAAGGGGAGGTCAAGTCAGCAGGCCACTGTTTAACACGGATCAGTCAGATGCACAAATATTGGTCCAAAGGGAAGCAGTAGGAAACCCCACATCCAGACACAACACGGGGCCCAGGGAAGCCCTGAGTGTGGCAGGAGGGGAACTGAGCGCCAGGCCGTGTGAGTCATCCGTGCTGGGGCTGCTCTGTAGAAAGGGGTGGCGTGTGTCAAGCTGTGACTCAGGAGCACTGTGACGGGCGGGCGGAGGGACCTGTGGGTGTGGCTGGAGTCTTGTTCTTTGCTTGTGTGCTTTCTTGGACAAATCAATTCTATTTTTGTTCCTCCAACAGAGGGTCTGTGCACTGCTGGTGGCCTGCCAAGGGGTGTGAGGTGGTACAGAGAGGAGCATTTAGAATTTGAATAGTAATGTATTTATTGTATGGAATATTAGGGAAAACAGGACTGGCTATCAATTCCATGATTTCATAGATATGATTAAGGTGGGGGCTAACACAGGTTTTAAGTTCATCTTCTTTATTGAAGTTTATTTATTTATTATTGATTTGAAGGCAGAGTAACAGACAGGGACAGAGACAGAGAGGTCTTCCATCCACTGGTTTACTCCCCAAATGTCCACAAAAGCCAGGATTAGGCCAGGCCAAACCAGGAGCCTGGAACTCCATCCCAGTCTCTCACATGGATGGCAGAGGCCCAAGCACTTGGGCCATCCTCTGCTGCTTTCCCAGGCGCATTAGCAGGGAGCTGGATTGGAAGCCGAGTTGGAACTCCATGCCAGGCATGCTGGATGCCGGTGCCCCAAGGGACAGCTTAACCACGGTGCCACTACACTTGCCCCTCAGTTCATCTTTAAAAGGAAGAGGTCATTCAAAGGCAAATTCAAAGTTGGTATGCAGAAATGAAAACTACTGGGGAGGTGGCAAAACTGAATATTGATGTGGTAGGCAGAGTAAGAGCCCTCCCCCAAGATGTCCACACCCCAGTCCCCAGAGCCGGTGCGTGTGTTACCCTTAGGTAGCAGAAGGGATTCTGCACCTGTGGTGAAGTCAGGAGTTTTGAGATAGGGAGAGTTTTCTGGATTATCTGGTCCAGTGTGATCTAGAGGTTCTGCTAAGAGAGAAGCCAGAGGCTCAGAAGCAGGGAAGGCAACGTGGGGATGGAAGCAGCCATCGGAGGGAGCACAGCACCTGAGCCGAGGTGCACCTGTAGCCTCTAGAAGCCAGAAGAAGCAGGGAACTGATTGATCCTCCCCTGGAGTCCTCAGAAGGTCCCAGCTGTGCCGAGACCTTGACTTTAGCTCCATCAAGTCTCATGTTGGACTTCTGCCTTGCAGAGGTGTGAGAGGATGAATGTGCACTGTTTTAAGCCTCCAAGTTGGTGGTGATTTGTGAAAGCAGCAGGTGCACTTGAAGTGGCTCCTTCTGCAAGTCCAGCAGTTCCCCCAGGCAGAGAAAGGAACATTGGCGTGGAGAGGATAATCCTTGGTCGCTCAGCCTCACGACCCTAGGAGAGGGCTGACCCTGCCTTCACAGCCCAGGGAGTGGCAGGGCTCTGGGCCCCACAGGAGGGTGGTTGGCCAGGAGACAGACTGGGCCCTGACTCATGGGCACCATCAACAGTGTCATCTGGTTCAACCAGCTCATTTCACAGATGCAGAAACTGAGGCTGGCAGACAGGAAGTAGCTGGAGCAAAATTGCCTGTGCTGGGGCTGAGTTGGCCAAGATTAATAAATGCTTGATCTCCTAAGGCGGTGGGAGGGGGCAGCACCAGGCGGTGGCGTGGCTGGGTTCTCACACCAGGGTGGGGAGCCCTGGGAAGGGGTGGGACCTGTTCCATTGGCTGGGGGCGGAGGGTGGCTCTAACCATCCTTTGATCACCTTCTCTCTGTGTCTGGGCCTCTTCCTTCCACACAACTTCCCTTAATATTTTTTTATCAGGGTATTCATAGCCTTCCTGCTAGCACATGAGCCTTAGGAAGCCGTTGAAACAGCAGAAGCTTGGAGAGGGATCCCCCCACCCCCGCACCTCCCCCCAACATTATTCTGGCTCTAGCACTTAAGTCCACGTCTTCTCTTCTGCTGGCCTCACTCCCCTCCAGAGGGACGCTTATGATCTTTCCGTAAAAGAGCCATTTCTACTGCGATGGACGTGACACCTGCGATGCTTCATTCTTGCAATTCAGCATTGCCAAGTCAGAACTGGCCTGTGACCTGGGCCTACCTGAATTAAGCCCAGCTTCCTAATTTTGAGCAGAAAATGGTAAAAAAATTGGAGTGAAAGTTTGTCTGAGATCCCATAGTCGTTCAATTTACCACGTTACCTTGTAAGCGTCGGTGGTTGGGCTCGGGTTTTCCTCTTATTTGGACAACAGTCACCAAACAGGTGATCAGAGAGAAGCGGCTCTTCCACTCCCCCATCAGCTCCTGCTGGCGTCCCAGGCAGCTCTGCCATTCACAGCCCCAGATATCGTTGTATCATCAGCTCAAGGGCCTTTGAGAGGTCTGAAGTTGAAAAAATTGCAGGGGGGCCAGCACTGTGGTGCAGTGGGTTAAACCGTGCCTGTGGCACTGGCATTTCATGAGGGCACCAACTCAAGTCCCAGCTGCTTCATTTCCAATCCAGCTCCTTGCTGATGCACCTGGAAAGGCAGGGGAAGATGGCCCAAGTGCTTGGGCCCCTGCACCCACATGGGAGACCTGGACCTGGCTTCAGCCTGGCCTAGCCTCAGCTGTTTCTGCCATTTGGAGAATGATCACCAGATGGAAGACCTCTCTCTCTCTAACTCTGCCTTTCAAATAAATACAATAAATCTTGAAAAGAAAACATTGCAGATTGGGAATCTGTGGGTAGAACTATCACGTGTGTTCACAGGAGTTGTCACATGCCATCAGGTTGGGCTGCCTGGGGCATCATGGCAGGATTGCCTTCCCATGACCTGTGCCACAGACCTGGGGACTGCCACTGAAGCTTTTTCTTAATAGAAAGCTTTTATTTAATAAATATAAATTTCATAGATACAACTTTTGGATTATAGTGGTTCTTCATCCCATACCCGCCCTCCCACCCCCAAACCGTCCCACCTCCTACTCCCTCTCCCATCCCATTCTTCATTAAGATTAATTTTCAATTATATACAGAAGACCAACTCTATACTAAGTACAGATTTCAACAGTTTGCACCCATGCAGACACACATAGTATAAAGTACTGTTTGAAGACTAATTTTGCCGTTAATTCTTATAGTACAACTCATTAAGGATAGAGGTCCTACATGGGGATCAAGTGCACAGTGACTCCCATTGTTGATTTAATAATTGACACTCTTATTTATGACGTCAGTGATCACCTGAGGCTCTTGTCATGAGCTATGGAAGTCTCTTGAGTCCTCAAACTCTGACCTTATTTAGACAAAGCCATAAGCAAAGTGGAAATTCTCTCCTCCCTTCAGAGAAAGGTACCTCCTTCTTTGATGGCCCCTTCTTTCTACCAGGGTCTCATTCACAGAGATCTTTCATGTAGGTCATTTTTTGCCACAGTGTCTTGGCTTTCCATGCCTGAAATGCTCTCATGGGCTTTTTAGCCAGATCTGTCTTAAGGGCTGATTCTGAGGCCAGAGTGCTGTATAGGGCATTTGCCATTCTGTGAGTCTGCTGTGTGGCCTGTTTCCCATGTTGGATCATTCTCTCCTTTTTAACTCTATCAATTATTATTAGCAGATACTTGGTCTTATTTATGTGATCCCTTAGACACTTAATCCTATCTTTATGATCAGTTATGAACTTAAACTGATCACTTTAACTAGTAAGATGGCATTGGAACCTACCAACTTAATGGGATTTGGAGTCCCATGGCAAGTTTTTAGCTTTCCCCTTAGGGGTATGTCCGAGGGAACGTGTGTGGAACTGCACATCTCCTCCCTCTCTTATTCCCACTCTTATTTTTAGCAGGGATCAATTTTCAAATGGATTTAAACACCTAAGAATAATTCTGTCTTAAGAGTTCAACCAATGGTATTAAGTAGAACAAGAAAATACTAAAAAGAATAAAATAGTAAGCTGTTCCTCGACAGTCAGGACAAGGGCCGAGCAAGTCACTGCTTCTCACAGTGTCAGTTTCTTTTTTTTTTTTTTTTTTGACAGGCAGAGTGGACAGTGAGAGAGAGACAGAGAGAGAAAGGTCTTCCTTTGCCGTTGGTTCACCCTCCAATGGCCGCCGCTGCAGCCGGCGCACCGCGCTGATCCTGGCAGGAGCCAGGAGCCAGGTGCTTTTCCTGGTCTCCCATGGGGTGCAGGGCCCAAGCACCTGGGCCATCCTCCACTGCACTCCCTGGCCATAGCAGAGAGCTGGCCTGGAAGAGGGGCAACCGGGACAGAATCCGGCGCCCCAACCGGGACTAGAACCCGGTGTGCCGGCGCCGCAAGGCGGAGGATTAGCCTATTGAGCCACGGCGCCGGCTCTCACAGTGTCAGTTTCACTTCTACAGGTTTCCTTTTAGGTGCTCAGTTGTCACAGATCAGGGAGAACATATGATATTTGTCCCTTTGGGACTGGCTTATTTCACTCATCATGATGTTTTCCAGATTCCTCCATTTTGTTGCAAATAACTGGATTTCATTTTTTTTTACAGCTGTGTAGTATTCCATAGAGTACATATCCCATAATTTCTTTATATAGTCTTCCATTGATGGATACCTTCTTATTTTTTAAAACTTAAGACAATTATACATTAAAAATATTTTTGGTAGAAATATTAAA